CTCTCCTCTCTCTCTCTCTCTCTCTCTCTCTCTCTCTCTCTCTCTCTCTCTCTAATCTCTTTTATCTCTGATTCTATATTTGTTAAGCCTGTCTTTGTCACTTTCTTCCATTTTTAATTTCAATTTATGAATGATTTATTTTTAGTTTTCTGTCAATCCCACTTCTTTCACTCACTCTCTCTCTCTCTCTCCACCCTTCTCTCCTCATCTCTCTCTCTCTCTCTCTCTCTCTCGTTATTCATATATCCAGTCGCACAAAAACACATAACAACAACAAGAATAAAAATAAACATATTAACAACAACAACAACAACAGCAGCAGCAACAGCAACAACAACAGCAACAACAACAACGTCAAAAACATTAACAACAACAACATATATAGACCAAGTATCAATGGATGAACGGACGGTAGACGACAAATCAATGCTAAACATTCATATGTGTTTTGTATGTGTGTGTTTGAATGTGTGCATGTGTGTGTTTGTTTGTTTATATGTATGCATGTCTCTTTGTATGTATATATATGTATGTATGTACGTATATATGTATATAAACACTTGTAACAACAAATAGTATGCTTGCAAGGACGAACAACACTTAAACGCAACACATACACACGCTCGCACACACACACACACAGAGAAAGAAAGAGAGAGAGAGAGAGAAAAGAAAAAAACGAGAGAGAGAGAGAGACATCTGACACATTTGATTTGTATGCAAAATAAAAAATGCAAGCAATTAATATTGAAACAAACATGCAATAGCAACTCATTACCTATGCAACCAAACCATTTTGTATTGCTGGCAGTAATTGATTTAACACTAATAACACACATACGCACGCGCGCACACACACACACATACACACGCACACACATGCATACGAACACACACATGCACATTGCACATACACACATATTTCTACATGTAAAATCTCATTTTTTATTTTTTTTTCATCGTCCGTTTATTTTCTAACAAACAAAAAAGTGAAACCAAATTTTTTTTTCAGCAGAAAAGAATCCTAATGATGATGCAGAAGAAGAAGGTGGCGAATTCAGTGATGAAGACAATATGGATGATGATGATAATGATAGTAAAGATGTTGAAGGTGATGATGATGGGGAAGATTTCACGTTGTGGAAATAGAGAGATGAGTAGAATTAACATGACGTCAGATCATCACATTATGCTGATGCATTTGGGGGATTCTATATTCTACTGTAGTCTTGCCGTGCCTTCAGATGGATTAAATTTTTCCAAGATAGATAGGTAGAAGAGAAAGAGAGAAAAAGAAAGAGAGAGAGATAGGGAGAGAGAAAGAGAGAAAAAGAAAGAGAAAAAAAGAAAGAAAAATGAAAGAAAGAAAAAAAGAGACAAAAAGAGAGAAGAGAGAGAGAGAGAGAAAGAGAAAGGATGTGTGTGACTGTGAAATAAAACCGAGAAAAAGAAAAAGAGAAAGAGAGAAAGAGAGAGAGAGAGGGAGAGATAATAAATGGTGGCTGGCAGTATGTTGGCTGGCGCGTGTCTTGGTCCGCATACAACAACCAACAAATCAAAACTACAAAAAGTAAACTAGGCTAGCAACGCAATAAACAAATGAATAAGTGAATGAATGAATGAATGAACGAATGAATGGATGGATAGATGAATGAATGAGCCACAACATTAATCATAATTCATATTTTTAAGAATGATAAACGGACTTATTCTATATTTAGAAAGATATGAGAGTTTGAATGAATGAATGATTGAACGAATCAATGAATGAGTCGTATTTTTCTTGACAAGGAAGAAGAATGTTAACAAACAAAAATAAATATACTCTTTAAATTAGAAAAAAAAACGAATTAATAAACTATAATGTTTATTTAAAATGCGTAAAAACAATAAATGGTTAACAACATTGGAAGAAAACATTTTTCCCAAATTTTCCACAATTAAAACTGAATTCAATAAAAAGCATATCAATTTTCTGCCGCGATATTAATTATCAACTAAAAACTTCATCCAATTTTTAAAAAAATTTTTTCCTTAACTATAATTAATCAATTAACTAATTAATAAACTAATTAATTAATCAATTAATTAAAGAAGTAACAAAAAACATAGAAACAATAACAACAACAAACACAACAACAACATTAACAACAACAACAGCAACAACATCCATAACATTAACAACAACAACAAATTAGCAAAAAACATAGAAACAACAACAAAAAATTTAAAAAAACGTAGAAACAAAAACAAAGAAACAACAAGACAGAGAAACAAACCTAGGGCGGTTGTAGAAACAGTACTGGAAAGTTGATCGTCATTCTCGACGTCCATCCTTTCTCCATCATCATCATCATCATCATAACTATTATCACCATCGGTATCATTATCATTACCGTCAACATCATCATCATCATCATCATCATCATCGTCGTGCGTTGAGAACTGGCGGGTGTTAAAGCAGAACACGTGATCATCTGATGAGGTAACTCTTGGTGACGAACAATCATCATCATTTCTTTGTCGGTATGATGATGATGATGATGCTGCAGTTGTTATTGTTGTTGTTGCTGATGATGATGATATTGATAAAGATGATG